TTCCAACTTTCCTCGGGTGATTGAGTTCTAGTTTCCAAAGCATTGTGGTCTGAAAATATGCATGGAATGATCCCTATCTTTTGGCACCAGTTGAGACCTGATTTGTGACCCAGTATGTGATCTATTCTGGGGAATGTTCCATCAGCACTTGGGAAAAATGTGTATACTCTTGCTTTAGGATGGAATGTTCTGAATATATCTGTGAAGTCCATCTGGTCCAGTGTGTCATTCAAAGTCCTTGATGATCTTCTGCTTAGATGATTTGTCTATTGCTGTGAGTGTAGTGTTAACAACCCTTACTATTATATTATCATCAATGTGTTTCTTTGTTTTTGTTATTAATTGCCTTATGTAATTGGCTGCTCCCATGTTAGGGGCATAAATATTTATAATTGTTAGATCTTCTTGTTGGATAGACCCTTTAATTATGATATAGTGTCCTTCCTCATCTTTTATTACAGTCTTTAGTTTAAAATCTAATTTGTCGGGTGCCTGGGTGGCTCAGTTGGTTAAGCGACTGCCTTCGGCTCAGGTCATGATCCTGGAGTCCTGGGATCGAGTCCCACATCGGGCTCCTGCTCAGTGGGGGGTCTGCTTCTCCCTCTGACCCTCTTCCCTCTCATGTTGTCTCCCATTCTCTAATAAATAAAATCTTTAAAAAAAATAAAATAAAATCTAATTTGTCTAACATAAGGATTGCTACCTCAGCTTTCTTTTGATGTCCATTAGCATGATAAATGGCTTTCCACCCCCTCACTTTCAATCTGGAGGTGTCCTTGGGTCTAAAATGACTCTCTAAAATGACCATTCAAATATAATATGAACAGGTCTTGCTTTTTTATCCGATTGGATACCCTGTGTCTTCTGATTAGGGCATTTAGCCCATTTACATTCAGAGTAACCATGGAAAGATATGAATTTAGTGCCACTCTATTACCTGTAAACTCACTGTTTCTGTATATTGACTCTGTTCCTTTCTGGTCTATGTTACTTTTGGCTCGCTCTCCGCTTAAAGGATCCCCTTTAATATATCGTACAGGGCTGGTTTAATGATCACAAAGTCTTTTAGTTTCTGTTTGTCCTGGAAGCCTTTTTTCCTCTCCATTTTGAATGACAGCCTTGCTGGATAAAATATTCTTGGCTGCATATTTTTCTCATTTAGCACCCAGAATATATCATGCCAGTCCTTTCTCGCCTGCCCCATCTCTGTGGATAGGTCTGCTGCTAGTCTCATGTTTCTACCCTTATAGGTTATGGACCTCTTGTCCTGAGCTGCTTTCAGGATTTTTTTTCTCTCTGAGATTTGCAAGATTCACTGTTATATGTTGAGTTGTTGACCTATTTTTATTGATTTTGAGGGGGCTTCCCTGCGCTTCCTGGACTTGAATGCCTGTTTCCTTCCCCACATTAGGAAATTCTCAGCTGTAATTTGCTCCAGTATACCTTCTGCCCCCTTCTCTCTTTCCTCTTCTCCTGGGATCCCAATTATTCTAATATTGTTTTGCTTTATGGTATTACTTACCTCTCGAATTCTCCCCACATGATCCAGTAGTTGTTTCTCTCTCTTTTCCCCTGCTTCTTTATTCTCTATCATTTTGTCTTCTATATCACTAATTCTCTCTTCTGCCTCATTTAGCCTAGCAGTTAGAGCCTACATTTTTAAAGATTTATTTATTTATTTATTTATTTATTTGAGAGAGAGAGAGAGAGAGAGAGAGAGAGCATGAGAGGGGGGAGGGTCAGAGGGGGAAGCAGACTCCCCGCTGAGCAGGGAGCCCGATGCGGGACTCGATCCCGGGACTCCAGGATCATGACCTGAGCCGAAGGCAGTCGCTGAACCAACTGAGCCACCCAGGCACCCTAGAGCCTACATTTTTAATTAAATAGTCTTTTTTATTTCAACTTGATTAGATTTTAGTTCTCTTATTTCTCCAGAAAGGGATTTAGTGTCTTCTCTGCTTTTTTCAAGCCCAGCCAGTATAATCGTTATTTTGAACTCTAGTCCCAGTATCTTACTTATTATATCCATACTGATTAGGTTCCTGGCAGTCCGTACTGCCTCTTATTCTCTCTTTTGGGGTGAGTTTTTCCATCTTGTCATTCTTGCAGAAAGTGGTCGCTTTTCTATTTGTAGGATCTAGTAATTCTTCTCTTAGATCTCCGGTTGAGTCCGCAGGTGCTCAGAATGATTTGATAGCTATCTAGCTGAATTCCTAAGGGACCAGACAAACTAAGGTCTCCTACTTCTCGCCATCTTGGACTCCTCACAAATGTGATCTTTTGATATTGTATAATGGACTGTGTGTCAACATCTAGAAGATTTCCATAACTCAGTGGACAAGTGTTTCCCAAAAGAACAATAACTATGTCACAAAATCATCTGTGGGTGAAAGATGCAGTCAAAGTGCAAGAAAGACCAGTGGATTTTATTTTATTTTTTAAGATTTTATTTATTTATTTGACAGAGAGAGAATGAGAGAGACAGAACATGAGAGGGGAGAGGGTCAGAGGGAGAAGCAAACTCCCCGCAAAGCACGGAGCCTGAGGTAGGATTCGATCCCAGGACTCCAGGATGACCTGAGCCAAAGCCAGTTGCCCAACAAACTGGGTCACCCAGGTGCCCTAGACCAGTGGATTTTAATGAAACAGAGTACAACAGATTCACTGACATGGTTTGAGATCAATCCACATTACAACCTATCTTTACGAAACAGCCATTTGTCAAATATCAAAGAATATCATCCCCAATTATCTAAAAAGACTGTTAAAATGCTCCTCCGTTTTCCAACTGTACATGTACATGAACCTGGATTTCTTCATATGCTTTAAACAAAACAACATACAGCAATGTATGGAATGCAGACACAGAGGTGAGCATCCAGCTGTATTCCGTTAAGTCATCCATTTGAGATTTAGGAAAGTGTAAAGCAAATGCAAAAATGGTTTTCTCTTGCTTTTTAAAGCACAGCAATTTTTCATTAAAAATGTTATTTATGTTAACATGTAATGCCTTTTTACTATTATTTTAAATGAACTGATAACTATTTCTTAAACTTCTCAATTTTGATTTCTATACAGTAAATAGAGATAATATACTCTCTTTCTCTTTCAAATAAATAAATAAAATCTTTAAAAAAGGGGGGGGAGGCACCTGGGTGGCTCAGTCATTAAGCGTCTGCCTTCGACTCAGGTCATGAGGGTCAAGGCTGAGATCGCACCCCGAGTCAGGCTTCCTGCTCGTTGAGCCTGCTTCTCCCTCTCTCTCTGCCTGCCGCTCCCCTGCTTGCGCACTCTCTCTCTCTTTCAAATAAATAAATAAAATCTTTTAAAAAAAAAGAGAGATAATATAGTTCACATAAACAAAGGGAGTGTTCTGTCCAAAATAAAAATTTAATCATATCATCCCGATTAAAATCTTTTAAAACCCTTCTCAGTTTTCAGAATAGAAATCCAAACACCTTGCTTAAAATGGTCCATCAAATGTCTGATTTAACAGTATCTTCCAAAAACTTAATATGCAAAACTATTTTACTTCAAGAATTCTAGAAAGTTACCCCTGACACAAGAGTACACGTCTGTGTTCAGGGATTTCACTGCAGAATTACCACAATATTGAAAATATAAATGGAATCTAAATGTGCAACAGTGGAATCTAATTAAATGTATCATGGTATATCCATAGCATGTTGCAGAATAGCACATAGAGTAGAATCCCAATTTGTAAAAAGGTCAGTAAATACGGGTCTTTTGGGGTATGCCTAGTAAATTTCTGGAAAGACATCAAAATGCCAATGAAAACTAGTTTAGAAATTAGAAAACATTTTCTTTTAAGAGTTTTATGGTTTTGCCTTTACATTTAGCACTTTAATATATCTGAAAATTATTTTGTATGTGGCATGAGATAGGAGGCCTAATTTATTTCTAATTAAAGAGCTAATTGCCATAAGACTTATGCTAAATGGCCAATCCTTTCCTCACAGATTTGAAATGCTGCTTTTATCCTATTAAACTCCTCATATATACATGGTACTGATATAGGACTGCATCCTGTTCCACTAAATTTATTCTATTTCAGTGCCAACACCAGATATCCTAAATAAGTATAGCATTATAATGTATTTTGATATTGGGAAGGTCAAACCCCCCCAATTATTCTTTTTCAAAACATTTTTTGACTGTTTTTGCATTAATATTTTTCTAGACAAACTTTAGAATCAGTGTGTTTAATTCCCAAACTATACTAAATGTATGCATTAGTTTAGGGAAACATGGTATTATTTATTTTTATTTTTTATTATTTTTTTTAAAAAGTACAGTTGACATACAATACTACATTAGTTTCAAGTGTACAACATAATATCTCACAACTCTATGTTATGCTATGCTCAGTACAAGTGTAGCTACCCTCTGTCATCAAACAAAGGGAAACTTGATTTTAATAAAATCGATTCTCTCCATTGAGGAATATGACATGTTTCTACTTATTCTTTTTTTTTCTGTGCTTCAGGAATAAATTTCTTGTCGTTCAGAGCTAAGTTTATGCCAGGTATTTCCATTTTTGTTAGTATTGTAGAAAAGATATCCTTTTTTCATTGTATTTTAAGACTGATATTGCTGGCCTTTAAGAAAGCTACTGATTTCTACATACTTAAATCTGGCCACCTTACAGAAATCAAGTATGGAACTTCACATAGCCATCATCACCTGATTTGGCTTAGGGTCCTGTGTACCAACAAAGGTCATGTGATAAGATAACATAGCTGAAAAGTGCAGTGAAATAAAACCATGCTGTTCTTAATTCACACTGCATTCAGTTCTGGATAAAGAGTGCTCTGAGTGTATAAGGCACAGAGCCAGAAAGTGCAGGGGGCATGGGCTGGTGGCAATGGGAGCGCTCATCTCTATCAGCCAACCAGATTGTGTAAAAAGGACACCAAATGTTACAATTTTCCAAAGTATAAATGAAAGCAATTGGAATCAATGTTAGAAATATACATTACCTCCTCAGGAACTCCAATTCGCTTCGCTGGGATTCTCATAAAGGAATTTCCAAATAAGTCTTTTGCCAAAGGACCATAGTTGTCAACAGCAGTTGGGGAATAAATAACTCCCTAAGTTTGAGAATAAAAAAAAGAACAAAATAAAGTACATAAAACTAAATTTTAAAATCACGAAGACATCAAGGCAGTCATTGACCAATGCCAAAAAGTGGGTTAAGTTTAATTAGAAAAGTCAACATTTTTTTTTTAAAGATTTTATTCATTTATTTGACAGAGAGAGACACAGCAAGAGAGGGAACACAAGCAGAGGGAGTGGGAGAGGGAGAAGCAGGCTTCCTGCTGAACAGGGAGCCTGATGCAGGGCTCGATCCCAGGACCCTGGGATCATAACCTGAGCCGAAGGCAGACGCTTAATGACTGAGCTACCCAGGTGCCCCGAAAAGTCAACATTTCTAATATTAATTTTTCTCAATATCCTCAAACATGATTACAAATGGATTCTCTGAATGCTCATTTTGTGACCTCTTCTCTCTTAATAGCCAGCCAAGCCCTACATTTTTCCTGAAAATATGTGTTTTCCAAAAACATAATTAAATGGATAGATCAGAGGGGCACTTAAGTAGGAAAAGGGGGATAGGGGAGTCTATTCTATCTTCCATCAGGTTTCTCTGCTTTATGACAGAAGCCTGGGCTGTGGTTCCATGAGACTTAGAAAATGCAATGTTTTCATTATGGTGAAATCACAGATGAAATATTTGAATCCAATATAAATAAACTAAAATTTTAATTGTTTGGGAATTCTTTTATTTAGCTTTTACTAGCTTTCAAGTATGTTGCCAAGACATTTTCTCTTCACTTCTAATCAATCTTTACCTTGGAATTAGACCTTAGTTTTTTCTCTCTCTCCTAATGAAGCATTAATGATACACCGAGAAATAACAAAATAATCTGGCAAATATTCATTCTGTAAAGCAGTGGTTCTCAGTCTTCACTGTGCATTTGAATTTCCTGGGTGGCTTTTAAAAAAATAGCAACACCCAGACTCCATAGTTTGGAGTCAAGCTTACATATCAATATTTTTTAAACATTTCATCGATAATTCTAATATATTGTCAAGATTGATAATCATTGGCTTAATGTAACCTTCTTGACAGTCTAGTTGTAAATCAAAGCATACTTCTTTCCAATTTTATCTATTTTTAAAAGCCAATCTTTTTTAGTATGCATGCATATTAACAAATACCTCCATCGACAATACAAATGGAATCAGAAAAGCACAATTTGTCAACAGCTTTCATACGGAACAGTTACCTACAGGGGCAACACAGTTGATCCTTATTCCACTGCTGGCCCATTCCACAGCTAAGGATTTGGTGAGGTTGTAAACCCCTGCTCTGGCAGCTCCACTATGCCTTTAAAAGACAAAACATAAAAATTACAATCAGCTTCCACTGAATGTTTCTCTCGTTAACTAAACTGACAGGTATGTCAGTGACCTGTCAGACCCCCACAGACATATTCTTGTTGAGTCTGTCTTTTGGAGTCCTTGTCTGAACAGTGGGAAAGAAGTGGGTCCTTCAATGTTAAAGCCAAAACACAAAAACACAGCTCTCTGATAGTCAAACCTTACATTACAGGCACACATAAGACCCTCCAAACACCATGACCATAAGAGAAATATTTTGAAGATCTTTTATTATGTAGAAAAAGTAAGAAGTTGGTAATTTTGAGGGTTACAAGTGTGGTTATTTTTTAAATCAATTTTAGATGATAAGGGATAAGAAATTTGTATATTGGGCTAAAAATAGTATCAATAGAATTTCTAGACACACCAAAGTTGAAGTAAATTTTAATACATTTCCAGATAGGAAGTTCAAAATAGTTAGGTCTGCATCTAGAGGGGGTCTTATGCACAAGGTACAGATACACTGTGGCTTAGAATTTCTAATTATAAGGTCCTTGGCACCAAGTATGTGAGATCTGGGGTCACATCCACCTCTCACTAGAGAAGACCTACAGAGTCCAACCTTCTTGAAGAAAACCCATCTCTGTCCCAGTGTTGGCTGCAGCAACCCTGGTGGGACTCCAGGCAGAAGCCAACTATTTTGTCAGAATTACCCAAGTAACGCCATCACCATCAGATGTGGCGACAACTTCTGTTGCTACTGCATCCAGCAGTCCTGGGTTGATCTACAGGACATGTTCCCTTGCCCTGCCTACTGCCACCAATGCTAAGAGGGGTCCCAAAGCAACATTCAGCTGGGAAGGATAATGGAAATTGCCAGGCTTCTCCACAACACGAGGAGCAAGAGGAAGGGGTAGGAACAGACATGCTTAGGTAAAAGCGCAATCAAGCCCTGACCCTTTTCTGTGAGGAGGACCTAGAGGTGTTTGTCCCCTTGCACTCAGTGCCCTGATTACCAGGGCCACCACATGAGGTCCTGCCTCTCATCATAGGAAAAGACTCAGCAGTATGTTGAGCCCCTGAAGAAGCAAGTGGCAGATGTTCAGAAACTGGTAACCACCCAAGAGAGAAAGCCACCAGAACTGAGAGACAGAAGTGGAAAACCAGAGACAGCAATTACTGAATTTCAGCATCTGAACCAATTTGTTGAACATGAGCAAGAGGCAGATGAAGGGCAACAGAATATGCCACTCCAAAATATGATATTAGGAGCTCAGGACATGCCACCCAAAATATGCTGTTTTGATATACTATTTTGAGCTGTAGACACTTAAAAATAGCAAATGCAGGGAGAAGCTTTCTCTGAACTCCCCTTATCTGCCTAAAGACAGACTGGGTTCCACCAAAAGGAACTCAATTACCATAAATCCCCTCCCCAAGGGTTTCATCAACCAGGGAAGATTGCCTCTGGTCACAAGTATAAAGACTAGAAGTTGACACCACAACCCAGAAACACTTTGTCACAAACTACCATACTTCCCATCTATTCCTCCAAGGGGCCCATGCATCTTTCCTAAAAATCATTTACTCTCTTCTATAAGGCCTCCATCTCCCCTCCCTTTCCTTACTAAGATAGTGGTTCAGTCTGAGTTCTAAGCCACTCAGGGAAGCTACTTATTTTCCCCTGGGTATCTCCCACATATACATGATGTATACATATGAATAAAGTTGTTTGTTATGGTCTTGTTAATTTCTTTTATTACACGGGTCTCAACTAAGAGCTCAGAAGGGCAGAGGGAAAATTCTTTTTCCTCCCCTACATAGTTTTCTCAAGCTTCACAGCTGAAGAGAAGGACATTGAGCAGAAACTTAATGCAAACATAACAGCATGTTCAGACTACATTTCCATACTCAAAGATCTACCAGAGAAGGTGACAGAGAAGGGTGTGATGTCAGAAGTGAAATTGCTGGTGAAGGTCAAGAGCATCTGCAACAGGTGTGAGAGCCTGAGGCCCCCGCTCTCCATCCTTTCCAGTTAAGGAAAGAAGGATGCAGTCTTCCTCCATGGTATTCAGCTCTGTATAAAGTTATTCGAGAACTGAAAGAAGTTCCTCTGGATCCCAAAACAGCATATCCTAATCAGCTTATCTCTGAGGATAAAAAACAACAATAACAACAATATAATAACCCCCCCCAAAAAACTGTGACATTTGTGAAGAAAAAAGCAAAGAGTTCATCCAAATCCAGAGACTTACAGCTTATCCAGTACTTTGTTCTGAAGGGCATTCCTGGATGGTCCAGGTGGATGAGAAGCCTGAATGGACCATCGGGGTTTGTAAAGACTCCCTTTCCAGAAAGGGAAAGTGGTTCCCATCGGAACAGAATAGATGCTAGACAATCCAGCTTTGGAGTGATGACTAGGTCACATGAAGTGCTGTTCCAGTCACTCTTCTTCTAAAGGAAAAGCCCAGAGGGACTGACATTTGAACTATGAGTTGACTGAGATTATATGTTACCATTTCCATGACAAGTCTCACAACTGTTCTTTCAATGACCAATTTCCTGAAGTACTAAGGCCTTATTTCTGTATCAGACATGATTTAAAATCTCTTACAATCTGTGCAGGAACAGATTATGAGTGATAAACTGTCTTGAAGGCTGTCACACTGCTTCATTTTCTTCCTCTAATTTATAAACAGGAGGCAGAAGGATGCACAACTCTTCAGTGAATATAGCACTAACCAAAGTTTTCAATGCGTCTACAACTTAAACACATAAAGTCATACAATATACGCTCTTATTCATCAGGGCTTTTTCACTCAGAATAATTATTTTGAGATTCATCCATGTTGTTGCATGAGTTAATAATTCATTACGTCTTATTTCCAAGTAGTAGTCTGTTATATAGATATACCACAGTGTGTTTAGTCGTTCACCCACTGATGGCATTTGAGTTACAAACTGTCCATGGGAGACATGAGTTGCTTTTTTGACCTATCTTTTGCCATAATTATTGTTTTTTAAGAGTTTATTTATTTATTTGACAGAGACATGGAGAGTGAGCACAGATAGGCAGAGCGGCAGGCAGAGGAAGAGGGAGAAGCAGGCTCTCCACTGAGCAGTGAGCCTGATGTAGGGCTCGATCCCAAGACCCTGGGATCATGACCCGAGCCCAAGGCAGACGCTTAACCGACTGAGCCACCCAGATGCCCCTGCCTTCATAATTATTGACAATGACCCAAAAGATCAGCAGCTCAGACCAAACTCCCCTGCATAGATGTAATGGAAAATAGACTAACCTCAGACAACATTAAGAAAAATGTGCCAAGACAGCAATACAACTCAAACATACACACAAGATATCCAGATAGCCTTTCAACAAATCAAAAGATGCTCCACTAAGAATACCATTTCTTGACCATCGGAGTTGTCCAGAAGTTGACAACACACATTTTGGGTCAGGCTCTGGGGAACACATACTCTCATACTTTGCTGGTTGGAAAATACCTAAAAGTATGCATATACCCTTCACCTTCACCTAGCAATCCCACTTCCAGGATCTACCCTGAAGATACAACTCTACAAGTATGAAATATGTACAGTGTTATTCACTGCAGAATTATTTGTAATGCAAAATGTAGAAACAATACAAATCTCTATTAAGTTTGAGCTATTACATGCCCTTGAAAAGAGGAATATGAAATCTGTAAGTCCATAATAGTGGTATACCAAAAAATTTAATAATAATAATGATAATAATAAATATATAGAGAAAGAAGGAATGGCTATTGCAGAAAAGTCTTTTTTATGGAAGAATATCAGCTAATAAACACAGAAGCAATTATGAAACCAGAAAAATCAACATCTTCTCACCCTAATGTAATAAGTGATTCAGGTAAGAATCAACAATGTTTGCAAAATCACAAGGGCAAACAGGATATTCATGCAGTGCCAAAATATCACCCTGCAGGTTACAGATTACATATTACTAATAAAGGAATTCAGGTCACTGTCTTACTTGGTTAACAGGTTATCTCTGGGATGAGAAGGTATAGAGCACTCAACTTTTTACCTTATGCAGTTTTATATATATGTAAAAACTAGCATGCTTTGTTTTTATAATGCTAAGATAGGTCTATTTCATAAGAAGAAAAATTCTATGTTGGAAAATTTTTTAAAAATTTTAATAAAAAAAGAGGAAGGAATCAGAACTTATAAAAGATATGAAAGAAATCAGCAAAACGAATTTTTTGTAAATCAGACTTTTTAACAGCTAAACGTGTGGTTTTCAAGTAGCTTCCTGGCACACTGTTTTTTTCTTTGTTCTTTTAGATTATTACTAAAGAATCTACTGAGCCAGTAGGCTAAATTAGTTCACTGATTGACTTTTTTTTTTTAATCTATTTCCAACATAAAAATTTACCAAAATCAGAATAAGAGTCAAATATGTCAAACTCCAGGGCGCCTGGGTGGCTCAGTTGGTTAAGCGACTGCCTTCGGCTCAGGTCATGATCCCGGAGTCCCGGGATCGAGTCCCACATTGGGCTCCCTGCTCAGCAGGGAGTCTGCTTCTCCCTCTGACCCTCTTCCCTCTCGTGCTCTCTATCTCTCATTCTCTCTCTCTCTGAAATAAATAAATAAAATCTTTAAAAAAAAAAAATATGTCAAACTCCATTATGGAGTAACAATTTAGCAGTTCTGTCTAAAATTGAAGAGGTATATTCACAGTATTCAAATCTAAATTAATCTAAATTCGTTTCATTTCCACACGTTAACAAAAAAGATCTCTCCAGACAATGACCAGTTTAGTGACATCTGGATTAGGGTTACTGGATAAAATATAGGACATTCAGTTAAATTTGAATTTCAGATAAACAACAATAAAAAAATTTTAGCGTAAATATGCCCCATGCAATATTTGGGACAGGCTTATAATAAAAAATTAATACAGCCTCTTGTTTTATTTTCTTGGTAAATCTGGAAAGCCTATTATGCATGGTAATGTTTTAGAAGTACATTTTTAAAGTTCAAATAAAGGGCAATGCTAAATATTGAGATCAAAACTCATTACAGGATTAAGGATTGTGACTTATGAAATTCTCTCCACCCTACTCCCCCCTATTCAGAGGACAAAACCCAAAGACATAGGAAAAAAATACATATACATTAAGTATGCTTACACAAATCCTGGAAATCCATTTCTAGTAAGGATAATAATATTGACAATAGATCCTCCATGCTCTTTCATCCAGGAGTTGTAAACTGTAGGAAACAGACCAATGACAATCATATGAAATAGTGACATGACTCTCTTCTCATACACTGTCCCAGCATCTTGCTTGCTATTTTAAAATTTTTAATTTACATTTCCTTTTTATAAAAAGCCTGATTGAATATAATTGACATACCATGAAACTCATCCACTTTATAAGGTATACAATTTAATGATTTTTAATAAACATACAGCGTCATGCAACCACTAACACAATCCAGTTTTAGAATACTCCATCACCCCCAAAATGTTCCTTTGTGCCCATCTGCAGCCCAAGCCATCCCCATGCAAACCCTCATCTACTTTCCGTTTATATAAATTTGCCTTTTCTGAACATTTCATATAAATGAAATCACACAATATGGGGGCTTTTGTGTCTGGCTTCTTTTACTTAGAATAATGTTTGTGAGGTTCATCCATGTGGTAACATGTATCAATAGTTAACTTTTTCTTGCCAAATAGCATACCAGTGAATAGATATGCCATATTTCATTTATCTATTAACCAGCGGATGAACATTTGGATTGTTTCCACTGGTGGGTGATTATGAATACAAACTGTTGTGTGGACATATTTTTTTTTTTAGATATTTATTTGAGAGAGACAGAGAGAAAAAGAGAGAGAGAGAACGAGTGCACAAGCAGGGGGGAGGGGCAGAAGAGAGTGAGAAGCAGACTCCCAGGGAGCCCAACACAGGGCTCAATCCCAGGACCCTGGGATCATGACCTGAGCTGAAGTCAGACACTTAACTGACTGAGCCACCCAGGCACCCCTGGACATGTTTATATTTCTCTTGGATAGATGCTTAGGGATGGAAGTGCTGGGTCATATGGTAATTGTATGTTTAACTTTTTAAGAAACTGCCAAACTATTTTCTGGTGTCTCCACTATTTTACATTTCTACCAGAAAAGCATGAGGGTTCCAGTTTCTCCATACTATTATTGCCCGACTTTTTTTATTATAGCCATTCTAGTGGGTATGAAGTGATATTTCACTGAGGTTTTGATTTGCATGTCCTGAATGACTAATGACTAATGGTGCTGAGAATCTTCTGATGTACTTATTAGCCACTCATATATCTTCTTCGGTAAAATATCTATTCAAATCTTTTGCCCATTTTTTAATTGGTTTGTTTTCTTAACATTGAATTATAAGAGTTCTTTTTATATTCTGGATACAAGTCCTTTATCAGATGTGATTTCTCCCAGTCTATCGCTTATCTTTTCATTTTCTTAATGTTGTCTTTTGAAATGTTGTCTTTGAAGTATTTAATTTTAAGTCATGTTTATCATTTTTTTTTACTTTGTGCATGGTATGCTGGATGGTGTATCTCAGGACTCTTTGCTTAAGCCAAGGTCATAAAGATTTTGTCCTTTATTTGCTTCTTAAAAGTTATACAATTTTACTTTTTGCATGTGGATATCCAACTGTCCCCGCACCATCTGCTGAAAACACTATCATTTCCCCATAGAACTGCCTTGGCCCCTTTGGCAAAAATCATAAATGCAAGGGTTTGACCACAACTATAAGGGTTTATTTCTGGACTCTCAAATTTGTCCAAAAGATCTATACATTTATCCTTCTGCCAGTACCACGTTGTCTTGAAATCAAGAAGTATAAGTCCTCCAACTTTCCTGTTTTGCCAAACTGCTTTGGCTATGCTGAGTCCTTTGCACTTCCACATGTATTTTAGGATCTGCTTGTCAATTTCTGCAAAAATAACAGGGACTGCATTGAACCTACATATCAATTTGGGAAGGACTACCATCTTAGCCATATTGAGTCTTCTAATTCATAAACATTGAATGTTTTTCCATTTAGTTTTTGATCTTCTTTCACTTCTGTCACAATATTTTGTAGTTTTTAGATACAAGTCTTATCCTTCTTTTGTTAACTTAATTCTTTAAGTATTTTCTTTTCAATTCTTTTTTTTTTTTTTTTTTACAGGGAGAGAGCAGGAGTGGGGGTGGGGGGTGGGGTGGGCAGAGGGGCAGAGGGAGAGGGAGAGAGACTCTTAAGCAGGTTCCACACCCTGCGCAGAACCCTACACAGGACTCAATTTCATGAGAGCTCATGACCTGAGCCAAAATCAAGAGTCAGACGCTCAATTGACTAAGCCACCCAGCCGTCCCTCATTCTTTAAGTATTGTATCCTTTTCGAAGCCCCAATTGATATTTAGCCATCAACTCTATTCATACATATCAAGACAATGTCAGATATGTACCCTCAAGATTCACTTCAATAGAAATCTAACTTTTAGAATGTAAAGGCCAGAGAACAATGCAAGACCTATTCCTATTAAAAGCTTAGACAAAAATAAGAACACGTTCCCAGTATTACTTAATGCTTTCCAGTGAATTTCTTACCAATGCTTTCCAGTGAATTTCTTACCAATTCATAATATATAACAGAAAAAGGAGCTAAATCCACGGGAAAAGAAGACATAAAATATAGTATTTTTGGGCTCTAAGACAATTCTTTCATATTATTTTCACATTGTTGAAACTGGGATATGTTTTACAGTTGGTGGCTTCTTAAGATACAAATAATACTGTTTGTACTTTCTTAGTAGTATATAAAACGATGGTGCATTTCACCAAAGATACATTGAGTATCTTTGACTCAATGAAATACATTATTTATTTTTAGACAACATAATTGTGTAGCTAAAACATCTGAAAGACTAATTTCAAAAACTGTTAGATAAAGATACAAATTACTAAATAAAGCTACAAGATCAACTTGAAAAAATAATTCTTCCATAAACCAACAATAATCTAGCTGAAAATAATTAAGGACAGAGCCCATTTAAAAAAGCAGGAGTCAGGGCGCCTGGGTGGCTCAGTCAGTTAAGCAGCTGCCTTCAGCTCAGGTCATGATCCCAGGGTCCTGGGATCAAGCCCCACATCAGGTTCCCTGCTCAGCGGAGAGTCTGCTTCTCCCTCTCCTTCTGCCCCTCCCCCTGCTCGTGCTCTTTCTGTCTTTCTCAAATAAACAAACAAAATCTTAAAAAAAAAAAAATAGAAGGAGTCATCCAAAATATCTAGGTATAACCTTAGTAAAAAAAATATAATATGAGAGGGGCTCCTGGGTGGCTCAGTCAGTTAAGCGTCTGACTCTTGATTTTGGCTCAGGTCTTGATCTCAGGGTCATGAGTTCAAGCCCTGTGTTGGGCTCCATGACCAGCATGGAGCCTACTTAAAAAAAAAAAAAAAATTTACATGACGAAAACCACAGAACTTTGCCAAAATATATAAAATAAGACTCCATTAACAGAAAGATGTGCCATGGTGCAGAGATAATATTTCAACATATTGTCAAATTATTGATAGGTTGAACACAATTCCAATCAAATTCCCCACCAGGATTTTTGAGGAAAAAACCTAAATATAAAATTCATCTGAAAGAATAAAAGGTCATGAATAGCCCAGAAAAGTTTGGAAATGAAAATAAATAACTATGTGCCATATCAAATATCTAAAAAAAAAAAAAACCTTTAAAAAAAGAAAAAAATAAGTTTATTTAAATTACCTACACAGACTTTCTGCTTCTGGTTAAATAGTACTCTATGTTAGAACTCTGAAATCAGGGGTGCCTGGGTGGCTCAGTTGTTAAGCATCTGCCTTCGGCTCAGGTCATGATCCCAGGGTCCTGGGATCGAGCCCCGCATCGGGCTCCCTGCTCTGCGGGAAGCCTGCTTCTCCCTCTCCCACTCCCCCTGCTTGTGTTCCCTCTCTCGCTGTGTCTCTCTTTGTCAAATAAATAAAATCTTAAAAAAAAAAAAAAGATGTTAGGGGACATGAATCAATAGGCAGATGAAGAAATACACTGGGCAATGTCCTGAACAAAGAAGCTTCTGCCTCTGTGGAGCTTGAGACTTGGCAGGGTGTCCCGTGAAAGTGTTCTGATTTACCAACCCTGTCCTTTTACGTTTTTATGGAGGCCGCAGTACGTAGTTTGGACTGATTAAATCACTGGCACTGGTGACCGAGTCAACTTTTAGCCCCCTCTCCTTTGCCCAGAAATCAGTAGATAAGACTGAGGTCCAACTCTCATCAAGGTTGGTTCCCTACCAACTAGCTCACACCCATCTTTACGGGATTTCCAAAAGTCACCTCATTAACATAAACTCAGTTGTGGTTGAACAGGACTTGTTATGAATAACAGACACCCATTTCACCTGTGTGGCCCTGAAGCCTTTTCAGGAATTAAGACAAGAGACCAAATATTGTAACAAAAGATTCTCCCATTGCTCTTATTGCTCCGGAAATTCCAAGAGCCTTGGGAACTATGAACCAGGAACCAGAGACAGACCAAAATATATACTCATTACAAATCACAACATCACAGTCCTTAATGATTATGGAACTACCACGTTATCCCTGACTATCTACCTGGACTTTTTATGTGAGGGAGAAACAAACTGTCTTATTTAAGTTCCTGTTTTTGCAATGGTCTCCACACTGAAATAGCCAGCCACAACGAATATAAAGCTTTATACTACTAGTTAGATAAAGTTGAAAGCTGGGAATGTCTGCAAAATTTTGACTTAGAGATATTAAGAATATAAAGCCTAATCCATATTAGGGTGAAGACCCTTTGGGTTGGAATTATACTCGTTCTGTGGTTTTCATCATAAAAATGTCTTAGTTTTTTGTTTTTGTTTTTTTTTTTACAGGACAATAAACACCTTTATTACATGACCGAAGATAGGAAGAAGATTTATTTGCCTTTCCGGGCTTTGATTTTCCTCAGATAGAACTCTAGCTCCTTGCCCTCTAGCACGCAGCCATCTGCTCGGCCACATTGGCCTGGTCTTGAAGCAATGCACGCAAGAAGCTTGCCCTGCTGGAATTGCTCCTCCAGAAGACTGCTGATTTTGGCATTCTTTTTCCTTTCATCATATTTCTTCTGAATTTTCTTTGATCGTTTTTTGTTTAAAATCTGTTCCTCCTCGGGCGTCAGCTTGGCCCCCTTCTTGCGGCCCAGGGGCAGTGCATAGTGGGACTCGTACCACTGTCGGTACGGTGTGCTGTCAATGAGCACAATACAGTTCTTCACCAGGGTCTTGGTGCGGACCAGTTCGTTGTTGGATGCGTTGTAGACAACATCAATAATCCTTGTTTTTCGTGTACAACACTCAGAGCCCCAGGAGAAGTTCCCCACGTCTAACCTCAAGGCACGGTACTTCTTATTGCCTCCCCGGACTCGGACTGTGTGTATGCGGCGGGGACCAATCTTAGTGTTGGCACCGGGGCGTCCCAGCTCATACTTCCGCTTCTTGTGGTAGGGCTTTCTCTTGCCCCCGGTCTTGCGGCGCTTGTGCCAGTTATCCCGAGAGATGCCCATCTCTCTCGGCGCTGGCTGCGAAAGACTCTTTGATAGTTTTTAACAAAACCCTTGAGTTACTCAACCTCAGGAGTTGAATGTCACCACCTATGAAATATAACTTCCAATCCAATGATATGCATGCATGCTAATTAGTTGTTAGTAAGAAAGAATGTGGACTCTGTCTGGCATTCTCCCTGAAGATTTGACAAGTTAATGAAAAGGCCCTTACAACAGATTTAACAGATTCATTTCTTTAAAACTAAGTGTGAGAGTTGTTTTTTTTTTTAATTTCAGGAAAAACTTTGTAGCTATATCTTTGTACAGATTCATAATAATTTTCTCATGATAAATTCCTAGAAATAAAATTATAAGATCAAACCATACCCATATTTTACAAATATTATCAAATTACTATCCAGAAATGCAACAATTTACATTTCTGTGTTGTATGCGAGTAAATCAGGGTAGTACGTGCTGCTGACATGGAGTTTCTAAGTCCCCAACAATTCTCTTTCAAGATTCTCTATGATCTAGGGGCACCTAGGTGGCTCAGTCGGTTAAGTCTCTGCTTTCGCCTCACGTCATGATCTCAGGGTCCTGGGATCAAGTCTGGCATCAGGCTCCCTGCTCAGCGGGGAGCCTGCTTCTCCCTTTCCCATTCCCCCTGCTTATGTGGTCTCTCTCTTTCTTTGTCAAAATAAATAAATAAATAAATAAATAAAATCTTTAAAGAAAAAAAAGATTCTCTATGATCTTTAAATAAAGAATCTTGACTTTTTGGGGTATTGATCATACTCACCTGCTTTGCACATGTAGAAGGTGCCTGTCAGGTTGGTCTCAATCACAGCATGCCATCCCTTTGCACTGATGTGTTCTGTAGGAGACGTGAACTGGCCTCCTCCATTGTTCACCAAAAAATTGATCTTACCATAAGTATCTAAGGTGGATTTGACCAAATTGTTCACCTAAATAAAAATGTTAAAAGTAAACTAGTTAATAACCTAACTTGCTACGTGGACTGACAGCTTACTCTAGGAGAAGAAAGAACTTGCAGTCTGTCACAGTAAATGGTACCAGTAACAGTAACTGAAATCAGGTTAAAATTAACACTAAGAAATGACTTAAAAGGGGCACCTGTCTGGTTCAGTTGGTACAGCATGTGACTCTTGATCTTGGGGTTGTGAGTTCAAGCCCCATGTTGGGTGTAGAGATGACTGATTACTTAAAAATAAAATATTTTAAAAAAATAGAGAAAAGAAATGACTTAAAGGGGGAAAGGCACAAAAAGTAATCTCGCTGAGACCACATCCTTGCTTAGCTTCCTTGTTTCTTTCCAACCCCTCCCCCTGGAGGTAATACACTCAATAAATCATTAGCAAAAGAATTTCTTTTACGGGATCTGCTTCTAGTTAACCTCATCCAAGACAGCCACCATAGGAACATCGGAAGCACAGGTTTAGGAACCACTCCTGTAAATAAAATGAATGAATAAATGATACAGACATTTTTGCATTACCTCCTCTTCTTTGCGGATGTTGCATTTTATGGGAGTGACCTGAGCCTGGTTGGTGGGGGGCAGGCTGGCCTTCAGTTCATCTGCAACAGATTTTAATCTATCAAAGTTACGAGATGCAATCACCACATTACACCCTGAAAAGAAAACAGTCCAAGAATAAGTAAATGTGCTTTCACTGGTTGTCCAAATTAAAAAAAAAAAGTCAGGAAGTGTTTCATGTGTACCCATAAAAAAAATGAATCAGGACTTCTGCCTCTGGTTAAGATGGACCATCAGTAACTGAGTTTACCCTCCAGACCAAAACTGGTCTGGACTAAAAAACTGGTCAAAGTATAATGCAGGATGGTTTTCAGGCACTGGACATGGGGTAGCATGGCACAGCGATCTCAGAGAATGGAGACAAACAACGTGAGCCCTGTGATCATTCCAGCACAGGGAGGAGGAGGAACCCTTTCAGACCCCCAGGAAGAGATGAAGTTGGGAGTCCAGGGAGGCCAAGACAGCACTGGAAATAGTATTCCAACCAGGCAAAACCTTGTTTGAAGGGGCACTGGGTAAAATACTCAGAAGGGCATGGTCTCAGTAGTGAAGCAAAATTAGCCCTAGATGAAAGGCCGTTCAGGTCAACATTTAACATATAAAGTATCAAACTGCTTCCAAGTAACTTAATAACAGAAGTAACAACTTCTGTGATGCAATTAACACAGAACAAAGCTCAAGAATATTTAAATGAATATAAAAATAACCAGCGTCCAACAAGGTAAAATTCAAATGTCTAGCAGTCATGTAAAGGAGCAGGTAAATACAACCCATTATGAGGAGAAAAGTCAGTTAATAAAAACAGAACCAGAAATGGCAATGATGATATAATTAAATAAACCAGTGATAAAGAGAAAAATATTAAGTCTTCCCGCGTTTCCTCATTAGGTAATACACATAGGATGGATTCATTTTAAACACAACCATAAAGAATTCCATAGCATGTTTCCACAGGTCTCCTTGTTCCCTACCTCGAGCACGTTATCTTTGATTCTAAGTCTTCCCTTTAGTTTACAAACAGTGGTTTCATCTTTCAACGTGTCTCCAGCATTTCTCAGAAAGAACTCTTCCTTTTCCCCCGCGGTTTCAATGTCGCCCACATGTAGAGAATCTTGGCTTGGCAAGTCCACGTCTCCCAGCCTTGCCTAATACCTCCCGGCTCCCGACCCCAGGTCACACTGGTGTGTGTCTCTGCGTACCCCTGGATCTAGGTAGCCTGACCCAGGGGGGCTGCTCACGTACCCAGCTGCAGGAGCTCCGTCGCGATGGCCTTTCCGATACCCGTGGCCCCGCCAGTGACGATGGCCAGTTTGTGCTGCAGCAATCCGGGCGCCAGGAAGCTCTTCCACTCGCCGCAAGAGCCCATGTCAGCCGAGGGCCTGAGTCCCGGAAGCGCAACTGAATCTCTGCGGCCCTCCTGGTGCGCGGGACCAAGGGCCCTGCCCACGTGACCGCCGGGGGCCCCGCCCCGTCCCATCCCGTCGCCCCGCCTCGCCCGGTCGCCCCGCCCTCCCGCCGCGGCAGGTTCCCATCTTCCCAGCGGACGGCTGCTGCTCGGCGGCGGCTGCTAGGCTCGGTCTGGATCCTCTGCCAGACTTTGTCCCCGGCATGTGTAGGTGAGATACCTTGTTCGTTGGGGTTTTGTTTTTGTTTTTAAATTTCGAGGCCATTGTGGGGACCGGAGGAAGGGAAGCAGACAAAAAGCGGGAGCGTGCTCGATTTCTAAAAATCCTCAGTGCTATAGCTCTCATGGTTAATTAAGATGAATTCTCCAGGGCATCTGGGGAAAGAGAGGCTGCGCACGGGAGCCGTACTGCGCCCGCCCGCCGCCTCGGATGTCGGGAGATGCTCTGGCTGCAGTTGTGGTGCGCCTCTGGCTGGGAAGGAAAGGGGCAGGCTTAGCTGAGGGGGAATAAACCTGGCCTCCAGATCCTTTCCGCCCCTGAAAGGGACAGTGGGCGATGAGAGGGGGGGGGGGGGGGGGAATGGGGTGGAGGAGGGGAGGATGCAGTTGCAGTTATCCACAGAACCAAGATAATAAATGATTTTAAAAATAAACTCGAGCCCACCTCCACCTCATCTCCCTTTCCCCGCCCAGGAATGAAGGGAAGAGACAACCTTTACCAGATTTGAGATCTAATCCATTTCAACCGGGCTGCATAAACTGATGAATCCGAAGGTGTGTGTTTCATGCAAGAACGCTAATGTAGGTGTGTGAGATCCTATCTTCTAGTTCATTCCTTATGTAGGGAAGCAAGCATTCTGAGGATGGGGGGGGATTTCTCATCCGCAGTTTGATGCCCGGTAGCAGTGAGTTATTATTCAGATTCTCCTCCGTATTGTTCATCTAGATACTGTCAACCCACCAGAGAGAGCTTACACCTGGACTGGCCTAGGGAGACTTGGCCTAAGAATTTGGCAGATCTAGGGAATGTGGGTGGTGCTGTGGTCTTAATCCAGGGAAGATGCTATTTCTGTCTGCTGTCAAGAGTACTGTATTTTCCCCTACAAGGTATTAAAAATGATGTAAAAGCAAACAAATGCCTTCATTCTTTTGTTGGGCCCACCCACCAGCTAGTTACTCACAAAGTGAATTAGAAATGGGTCTTGTTAAAAGTGGAATCAGACATCACTTCCTCTCTGATCGTCCATCACCTTACCCTTCTCTGATCTCCTTTAAGAAATACTTGCCCTGGGGCACCTGGGTGGCTCAATCGGTTAAGCATCTGAGTCTATTTTGGCTCAGGTCATGATCTCAGGGTTGTGGGCACGGAGCCTGCTTGTGGTTCTTTCTCTCCCTCTCCCTCTCCCCCTAACCGCCCCCCACCCTCCTGTGCTTTTTTCTCTCTCTAAGAAAAAAAAAAAGGAAAGAAAGAAAGAAAGAAAACTTGCCCTTCTATTTTTGTTGATGACAGGTTCCAATCTATACTCATTAAAGAAAGGAAGACATCTCTTCCACCTTCTGCTTCCCATTTGCTAGATAGAGCTTTGAGTCCAATGATAAAGTATTTTTTTTTAACAGGATGAGAAATAGTGACTCAGTTCTAAGGGCTTTCTTATTCCAGAAAATTCCGTGCTTTCTTGAGAGCAAAGAAAACTCTAAGTTTCTTTTAAAGATACTTTTATCAAAGATATAATTTAATGTGGTTGTGATCTGGTCTAGACCTGTGGATTCACAGAGCTCTGCCAGGGTGGGTCAGTGTGGGCCTGGTTCTACTGTAGCCTTTGTATGGCAGCTGAGGGGACTGAGGGATTCTGCAGTCCTCCAGTGAAAAGATGACTGGACTGGCTTTAAGCAGGTTTTGGCTGCTGAGGATGACAAGGAGCCATTCCTTGGCTGCAAGGAAGTTACAGTCTGAACAGTCAGCAAGGCTCTTTCTCATAGTCCACAGATTCTGTGATTCAGAGAGATGTTGGGGTCTCTTTGAGAGATCCGTTAAAATGAAAAGGCATGTGCTGTTTGCCCCGTCTCTCTCGCCTCAGTCAGGGTTTGAAAGTCTGCTAACCCCAAAAGCCTAGAGGTACAGCAACAGAGACTCCTTGTTTCTAGATTTTAATTCTGGTTCCTGGTTGAGTCATCACTTCATGAGGCATCCACGCCATGCTACGTTGATGTTCCTTTGGCCGAATCAAATGCTACCCTGCACTCTGCATCACTGCCCCCTTTGTCCCAGGGAAAAAGGCATCTCCTGGGCCATGATCCTTCCACACTCCCACTCTGTCATACCCTATTAGCACAGACTCCCTTCATCTTCTGGGATGTTCTTGCTGCTTACCCAGCTTCCCACCCCTCCCCCACCCCATCTGCCTGGTAACTTCATTTTCTTCCTGCCTCAAAACAGCTGCTGGCTCATACTGACGGGCCTGTGAGATTCTCAACATTCAGCCTCACTGAATCTTGGTGCTAGAAGAATGTCAATGAGGCATCTAGCCACCCCCCACACCCCCACCTTGAAGTAAGAGCGGTTCGGAACTGAACCAGCTCACACAAACAATTCCATACCACATGCCAGGTGCTGTTCAAGGCATGGAGGTTACAGTACAGTGGACAGTACAGTTAGCTGTCCTTGCCTTTTTTTTTTTAAGATTTTATTTATTTATTCGAGAGAGAGCGCGTGTGCGAGCATGAGCAGGGGGAGAGGCAGAGAGAGAAAGGGAGAAGCAGACTGCGGAGCAGGGAGCCCAACACAGGGCTCCGTCCCAGGCCCTTGCGATCATGACCTGAGCTGAAGGCAGACACTGAACTGACTGAGTCACCGAGGCGCCCCTGTCCTTGCCTTTGTAGAGTTTTTATTCTAGCATGTAGGTATGACGGGAGTGGGAATAGGGCCACCCTTATTCACTATAAACAAACAAAAGATCAGAGAGTGAAGATCCAATTTTACAGCTCTTAACAATATGGAGATGCTCAAGTTCCTTGTAACCCACTACCCTCGCTACCAGGAACTGTTTCCTCTGTAGACAAGCCAGATGCTTCTAGATGATGAACCAGGCTCAATGTGAGAGCCTTTCAGGACAGGTAGGTTGAGCAGTGACAAAGGAGATGCTGCTCACAGGACCATGAAGGAACAGAATGCAGTCTAACTCATAACCAATTCACAGCAACTGGCTAGAGGTTGGGAGTTTTAAGTTGCTGTTCCATCATTGCTCCAATCACTGACATCAGCCCGGGCCAAATTCCCTTCCACCTTTACATTGGTGAGACTGTCTTCCTGAGAGGGGCTAACGGTGATTTTCGGTGGTTAAAATGGTAAGCATTTTATTTCCTAGCTGGTGTAGGGCATCTCGTGGTGGTAAACCACAATGCTATTGGAAGAGTATGGCCACCTCAGACAGGTGATATGTGGCCCTTTGGGTGACAGATACAGAAATGAGAGAATTGAAAGAACCATAAGGCAGGAGCAAGGCACAGTTCACTGTAGTAATAGTAATAGTAGTAAGTTAACTTGAAAATGATCATACTCTACCCTTCCGGCCCCAGTTCAGGTTCCTTGGGAGAGGGAGATGTGACCATATGGGTAAAGGTACAAAAAACAACTCTGGGGCACCTGGGTGGCTCAGATGGTTGGGCGTCTACCTTCGGCTCGGGTCGTGCTCCCGGGGTCCTGGGATTGAGTCCTGCATTGGGCTCTGCTCCTTGGGAAGCCTGCTTCTCCCTCTGCCTCTGCCTCTCTCTGTGTGTGTCTCTCATGAATAAATAAATAAAATCTTAAAAAAAAAAAAAATTCTGGGGGGAGTGGGGAATTAAAAAAAACAAAAAACAAAACAAAAAAAACCAAACCCTTGATTGTTCTGAAATCAATGGCACTGGGCGCCATATGATCACACCTGATGCAAAGGATGCTGGGAAATGTTATCTTTAGGAAGGAAGTAATGTGACCAGCGGAACCCTCCATTATTGGAGGAGAAAATAGATACAATTATACCATAATAGGGTTTATTAAGCATAGAGGAACTTTTTAATGCCTCTCTCTTTTTTTTAAGATTAAAAAAAATTGTTTTAAGTAATCTCTATACCCAGTGTGGGGCTCGAACTTACAGCCCTGAGATTAAGAGTCACACGCTCCATCCACTGAGCCAGCCAGGCACCCTGTAATGTCTCTTTATTAAACTTCTCTTCAGTCTCAGTCTTTGACAAAATCAGGCTAATCTTTAATTGCTACCAGTTCAAACTCCCCCCAACCCAAATCATTAATCCAGTTACTTAAAAATTTGTTTATTGGACATCTGTGTGTTGGCTTACTTATATGGTACCATTTCCTAGACCTGAGAGTCGAGTAGAGGAGATAGAAAATAAACAAGCAAAATAAGAAATAGAATTTGGGACACCTGGGTGGCTCCGTTGGTTAAGCATCTGCCTTCAGCTCGGGTCATGGTCCTGGGCTCCCAGGATTGAGTCCCCATGTCGGGCTCCCTGCTCGGCGGGGAGTCTGCTTCTCCCTCTCCCTCTGCTCCTCCCCCTTGCTTGTGCACTCTCTCAAATAAATAAATAAAATCTTAAAGAAAAAAGAAATAGAACTTAATTACAGATGTTGAATAAGTCTTGTACAGGAAACAGGCTGTTGTGATAATCATGAAAGGCAGGGCAGGGAGCCTATTTTAGGTTTGATGTCAGGAAAGCTTTGGAGGAGCTGACAAATGAACAGAGCCTTGGGAAATACCAAGGAGATGGCCATGTGACAGAGCGAGATTGTGGAGACCAGGCAAGGCAGACGGTATTTAAGGCCTCAAGTGGGAAAACGTTTAGTGCTCCTGAGGAATGTGTAGGCAGCCAGTGTGGTTGTAGCATAGGAGGTATATATGAAGGAGGTGGTATATTGCATAAGCATGGCAGGGTGGAGAGGGGCCACGTCAGGTAGGTCTTTGGGCCACATGAAAAAGTTTGGATTTTG